TGGTCCCCACAACCCTCAGCCCAGTAGTTCGGACCATCAGGGAGTTTGGATGTGTCTATGGAGCTTCCATGACCTTGCCTTGGACGAGTTGTGCTAGCTTCCCCAGTATTTCATACTGTTTTACACATCACCAAATAAAACTATGATTTTAAAGAACCAGGCAATGATTACAAGAACATCTTTTGTGTTACCGGTCCCTCTTGATTTGCAGAGAATAGACTCCTCCTCAGGTCATTTCAGGTAAGGAGTGCTTATAATAAAGGATATCTCCCCAGCACCAGGCCTCCTGGAACTGGAATGTTGTTGCTTAAGATATGGGTCTTGGTGATTCTCAAGAGCATGACGTTGTGGCTCTCTGCTCTTGTGGCTCTGCTGTTTCTAAGACTCTTCAGACTTAGGCTGTCTCCCTGATGCCTGCTGGACCGTCCACTCCTTCCTACTGCCACTACTGGATTCAGACTCTATGCCTCAAGTTCAAATTATCTGAGAACCTATATATTAGAGCCATCTAGGAGGCACTATCTACTAGAACCTCTTACTCTATGTTGTTCAGGAAACAAAAAAACTCTCTAAAGAACCCATTCTTGTCCAGGCCACCACCCTCCTTACATTTTGGGTTTCAAAGAGTGCATCAGGCTAGGGAACAAATACCCTAGTCTAATCAACTGTGGCTAGGGTTGCAAGATGACACACAAATCACAGCAATTTACTGCGAAGGCAGGCTCTTCATCAGAAAGGGGCTGTGCACTTCAAAGTCCAATACATTTCATCTCTTACCCTTCTTTCCTCACGTACAACTTCAAAGAATATCCACTCAACCTAATCCAACTGTTACATTCATCCACCAAATTCTCCTTTCTTAATGATGGAAAATATGTTTTGAGAGATTTGAAAAATTGGAGGATTATAAAGTTTCAAGTTATCTTAGAAATCTTATAGATGAGAACTAAAGCCCACAGAGGAGGCTGAACACCAAGGTAGTATGATCTCGTTCGCCAAGATTCTACCCCTAGGGGTGCCTCTCTCCTTTTGCTCTTATCTGCCACCAAACTATTCTATATCTTGAAAGTCTTCTCTCCAGGGTTGGCCAAACTACTGTTCCTATCCCAATAATTTAATTTGTCCAAAAAAAAAAAAAATGAAAAATAAATTCAGATTGTCTACTTTTAAAGTCACTTTTGGACCAGATTTCTATCCAGACTGGAACGTTAGACAAGAATTTTTTTCTTCTTTGTTTTGTTCGTGCAGCTCTTGTTGATCTCCAGTCTTGGAATATGAAAGCCAGCCATTTGTGGGCTGTCGTCATTCTGATGAATGATGTGAGCCTCTTCTGCTCCCTAAGGGCCTATCTCCTTCCTGACCTTTGATCCAAGGCAATTAAGAGCAGCAATAAAATCACAAAACCTCACTTTTGATCAATGCATTCTGGCCAGAGGGAGATCTGGTTGTCCTTTCAGAATAACTATAATTAGATCGGGTTTGGAATTCGGATTGCTACATCAAGTAGAAAAAAACAATAGTTTTAAATCACCATATCAATACTTCAGAAGGAACTAGAGAGATCTAAAAATTGGGAACAGGATTCAGATTGAAAGCAAGGCATTTTAAATTTGAGAGTTATTTGGAACACTTTATAACAGGGCTTTGAACCAATTCGTTTTGGTTTGATCCCTGCTGAGAATTTGCATTTCCACCCCAGATACACAGAATCAGAATCTACAGCTTAACAAGATTTCCAGGTGATTCTTATATATAATGAATTTTGAGAACTACTGCTCTACTAGTGGTGTAGTGCTTAAGAGCTTGGCTGCTAACAAAAAGGTCGGCAGTTCAAATCCACCAGCTGCTCCTTGGAAACCCTCTGGGGCAGTTTTACTCTGTCCTATAGGGTCCCTGAGTTGGAATTGACTCAATGGCAACGGGTTTGGTTTTTTGGTTTGGGCTCTACTAGTGGTTCTCAGAACTGGCTCCTAACCAGCAGCATTTGCATTGCCTGGGAACTTGTTAGAAATGCAAATTCTCAGCAGGGGCTCAAACTGGAATGAACAGGTTCGAAGCCCTGTTTGTAAGTAGCTAGTGGCCTAATGGTTAAGCACTCAGCTGGTAAGGTTGGTGGTTTGAACACATCCAGCCACTCAGAGGGAGAAAGACCTAGTGATCTGCTTACGTAAAGATTAAGGCCAAGAAAACGCTATGAGGCAGTTCTACCGTGTCACATAGGGTCCCTATGAATCATAATTGACTCAACAGTTGAGTACGTTAGTCTTGTACAAAGGAGAGGTGGTACTTGGAGGTCATAAAAATTTTTTTTCTAGTTCAATTAAGCCACAACAGCCAAAGGGGGAATATTCTGATGGGCAGTACGGGGTCCTTTGCCCCTCATATTATCTTGAGATGCTATGAAGCTGCAAACTGAACTTTTTTTTTAAATAACAATTTTATTGAGGTATACTTTATGTACATAACTGCATCCATTTAAAGTTTACAACTCAATGAGTTTTGAAAGATGTATGTGAGAAGCCCTGGTGGCTCAGTGGTTAAGCACTCAGCTGCTAACTGAAAGGTTGGCAGTTTGAACCAACCACCCACTCCTCAGGAGAAAGATGTGGTAGTCTGCTTCTGTAAATATTACCGCCTTGGAAATCCTATCGGGCAGTTGTACTCTGTCCTTTAGGTCTCTGTGAGTTGGAATTACTACTCAATGGTGAGAGGTTTAACAGGGTATATACCCGTGAAACAATGAAGATGCATAATGTTCTCTTACAATCCCAAAAGTTTCCCTGTGCTTCCTTGTAGTCCATCCTCCCTTCATCCCTCTCTCCGGGGAACCACTGATCAGTTTTCTGCCACTATGGATTAGTTTGCATTTTCTAAAATTTTACATAAACGGAAACACATAATATGTATTCTTGTTTCTGGCTTCTTTCACTCAGAATAATTTTGAGATTCATCCAAGTCTTTGTACATCCATACTTCATTATTTTTTATTACTGAATACTATTCTGTTGTATTGGTGACAGACATTGTGTTGTTCCATTTTTTGGCTGTTATGCATAAAACTGCTATGAACATTAGTGTAAAAGTTTTTGTGTGGACATGTTTTCATCTCTTAGGCAAGAACCTAGGTGTGGAACTGCTGGGTCATGCAGTAGATGTAAATTTAACCTTACAAGAAACTGCCAAACTGTTTTCCAAAGTGGTTGTACGATTTCACATTCCCACTGTGTATAAGAATTCTGATTGTTCCACATCCTTAACAATACTTGGTAGTGTTAGTGTTTTTAATTTTAGCCATTCTGGTGGATGTGTAGTGGTAACTGATTGTTTTAATTTGCATTGTCTCCATAACTAATGATATTCAGCATCTTTTCATGTGCTTATTAGCCATCTGAATATTTTCTCTTGTGAAGTGTGTTCATAGTTTATGGTTGTTTGTCATCTTGTTGAGTCGTATAAGATCTTCACACATTCTGGATGCAAGACCTTTACCACATAAATGTATTGCATTTTCTTCCAGTCCCTGGCTTGCCTTTTCATTTTCCTAACCATGTCATTTTAAGAGCACACATTTTTAAAGTCCAGTTTATCAATTTTTTCTTTTCTAGCTTGTGTTTTACGTTCTAAGAAATCTTTGCTCACTCCAAGCTTGCAAAGATTTTCCCTAGAAATTTGATAGTTTTAGCCTTTATGTTTAGATTCATTTATTTCAGGTTAATTTTTATGTGTGGTGTGAGGTAAGGGTCTGTTTATTTTTTCCCAGTTGGATACACAATTTTGCAGCACTTTTTGGTGAAAAGATTTTGCTCTCCCCCACTTAACTGCCTTGGCGCCTTTGTTGAAAATCATTGGAACAAATATGTTTGGGTCTCTTTCTGGACTCTATCCTTTTGCTACACTGTTTGATTATTGTAGCATAAAGTCTAAAAACTGAAGTTTAATTCCTTGAATTTTGTTCTTTCCTAAATTTTCATTGGCTATTTCCTAGATCACTTGCATCTCCACACAAATTTTAAAATCAGCCTGTTAATTTCTTAAAAAAAAAAAAAAAGAAATTTCTGCTGGAATTTTAACTGGGGCTGTATCAAATCTATGGATTAACTGACATCCATAGGGAGAACTGACATCCTACTATTGAGTTTTCCAGTCCATGAACAGAATACATCTCTCCATTTATTTAGATCTTCTCTACTTTCTTTCAACAATGTTGTGTAGATTTCAGTATACACGTCTTGCTCACATTTTGTTAAATTTGCCCTTAAGTATTTCATGTTTTTGATGCTATTGTAAATTAAATGAATTTATTTCATTTTCCAGTTGTTCATTGCTGGTATACACAAATACTATTGATTTTTGTATATTGACCTTGCAAACTTCAATTCTAGTAGCATTTTGCAATGTCATGGTATTTTCTTTATAAACAATCATGCTATTTGCAAACAGAGTTTTATTTCTTCCTTTCTAATCTGGGTGCCCTTTATTTCTTTATCTTGCTATAGGACCTCCAGTACAATGTTGAATAAAAAACAACCTCACCTTGTCCCCAATCTTGGAGGAAGGCATTTGGTCTTTCTCCATTAAGCATATGGTATTACCTGTGGGTTTTTCATAAATGCCCTTTGTCAAGTTGAGGAAGTTCCCTTATAGTTCCAGTTTGCTGCGAATTTTTACCATGAACGGTATCGAATTTTATGAAAAGCCTTTTCTGATTTATTGATATGATCATATGGTTTTTCTTTTTTAGTCTGTTAAAATGGTGAATTGCATTGAGTGATTTTTTAATGTTAAACCTGTATTCCTGGGTTAAATCCTACTTGGTTGTGATGATGTATTATCCTTTTTTATATTTTGTTAATTTCTATCTACTAATATTTTGCTAAGGATTTTTGTGACTATATTCATAAGTGGTTTGGGGCTTTAGTCTTGTTAATATTGTCTTGGTCTGGTTTTGGTTTCAAAGTAACACTGGTGTCATAAATGAGTTGGAAAGTATTCTCTCGCTCTTTCTGAAAGAGTTTTTTTTTTTTTTTTTAGGATCGGTATCATTTCTTACTTAAATGATTGATAGAATTTACTGAAGCCATCTGTAAACAGGGTTTTCTTTGGAGAAGATTTTTAATTGTACTATTTAGGGCTGTTTAGACTTCTTATTTTGAAGAAGACTCTTGCAGCAAAGCTTTCTATTGCTGGAAAATCCACCAGTTATAACTCCACAAATGCTAACTAGAAGTGAAAAGTAATAATTACTAGACCTCTGGCTGAGAGAAAAGGGTCCTGTCTATCAAGTTGCTATGCAGTTGACCTAGATAGAATTCTACTTTTATTCCAATAGGGCCTGACACGTGGTAGAAAAGAATGAGTTTACACCCCTATGAGTAGTATGTTCCCTGATTTCATTTTTATTCCACCTTCACAAACACATTTCCGTCATGAGGTGTTAACTTTTTAAAGCTGGTATCATTTCTTGTTTCTGGTTAAGAGCTTGACTGCTAACCATAAAGGTTGGTTGGCGGTATAAATCCACCAGCCGCTCCTTGCAAACCTTATGGGGCAGCTCTACTCTGTCCTGTAGGGTCACTGTGAGTCAGAATTGACTTGACGGCAACTGATTTTAGCACCCAGCTTGGTGTTAGGCACATCACAGGCATTTGGATGTTTGTGGAACTTTGAGAACTATGGAACAGAGAGCAATAAACACAGTTGCTCATGGCTCTGCATTGATCTGAGAGTTTAGGAGTAACTTATTAGAACCAGGAAGAAGAGACACCCATAGGTTACCATAGCTTTTCTCAGTAGCCTAAATCCTGGAAGATTTCAATGTTACCAAAATTTCTTAAGGAAATCTTTTTTGGTCTCACTGTAGCTTTTACAGGGTTAGTACATGGAGCTCAATAAATGTTTATCTTTAAGGTTTTACAGTAGAAGATGGCACCAGAATTTGTACCAGTAAGCCCAGAATTACTCTTATTCTTTTTGAAGTTGGAGGCAACACGATACAATGAAAAGTAAAATGGACTTGGGAGTTACAAGACCTGGAGTTGAGAGTAGGTTCTGCCACCAAAAAGGATGTGTGTTTACTGATTTAAGCATCAAATGAATAAATGTGAGAACACTACAGACATTGCATCAGTCATATACAAGAGTGAGTGAATATTATTTCTCTGAGCCCATAGAAATAGAGTTATACAGGTCATGTCAGTGGAAAGACAAAAATTCAGTTTCTCCCTGGACTGGGAGTGATCATTACACGGCCAGCTTCAGCAAAATAGGTAAATAGCTAAAAGATTTCTTTGTTCTTTTCCCATTTTCCTTCTTTTACTCCAGAACTCCCACCTTTCTCCATCCCTGACACCCCCAAGTACCCTTCTGCCATCCCAATAAGACCCAATGCACATCTGTCCTCTAAACATAACCTTCAAATTTGAAATCCCCTCAGCATCTAATACACAAATTCATAGCTCAATAAAGCAAATGTCCTAGGGGATTCTGATTTTTAAATCTAAAGGAGTGAACTTTTAGAGGGACTGTAGGTACTGTGTCAGGTAGAAGGGGGAGGTATTTTAGAAGCAGAGAATCCTTTACTTAGAGAACTCTTGACAAGATGTCAAGTTGATTATGACTCATGATGACCCTATGCATGTGAGAGTAGAATTGTGCTCCATGGGGTTTTTAATAGCTGATATTTGGGAAGTATATCACTAGGCATTTCTTCCAAGGTGCCTTTGGGTAGACTCAAACTGCTAACCTTTCAGTTAGCAGCTGAGCCCGTGAACAGTCTGTATCACCAAGGGATTCCGATTAGACTTCCCAGAACAGACAACATCTACTTGTGGGGCCACACCAACATCTGAAATTATTTTATTTTCACCAAGCAGTTTTTCTCAGCACTCAAGCATTCAAATAAACTCTCTAAGACATTTTCTTGGTGTAGATTTTAAATTACAAGCTAGATTTGATAACCTCAAATACAGTTCCTAAGGAAGATAAGATTGTTACAAATTGTTGTCAGTACTTTCAAATGAGAGGAAAAATTACATTTTAGTAAAATCAGATGACTTTTTTATGTCTGAGATAACAATCCTTTCATCACCAGGTGGCATTACTCCAATTCATGCATTAAATGATTATTACATTTTTAAAAGCTGCCCTAATTTTTCTAGCGGAGACTTGATCCTATTTTAAGTAAAGATATTAATATGCTCCTGAGGTCACCTCACCCTCCCCTGGGAACCGGTGAGCACATATGGTTTCTCTGAGATTCAACTGGATCCTCGTTGTCCCAAGGTATTATCTTCTTCCTCTTATCTCAGAATTTCCCAGGAAATTCTTCAGTTTCAGAAGTGGCCCTGGTGGCCTACAGGCAAATATAACACCATAGATTATATTATATATGACTCTAATAGTGACCTAAAAGAAGTGGGCAGGAGGGAATTTTTAATTTATCTTGACATAAAACCAGCAGAAATCAGCATCACCAAATTCTTGTAACTAGAAATGATGAGGGTAAAACGGAAGAGGTTTATCTTATGATGGGGATGCCCCTCACAGTAGGCCTTGTGAACGTCTTGTATAGAACCACATAATTAGTACCATCAACATTTTACATATTTTACATACAATTTGAATACAAATTCTTAAAATTTACAATAGAACATTAAAATAATCTTCTAATAAAATCAGTCTTAAGTATAAGGAATCTGAATTTCAATATCCTATACACTTCTAAATAAATATCTTTGATCTATAACCGTTTAAAATATTAGTTTATGGTGACATGATGCAGACAAGTCCAACAGTATTGTAAGTGAAAATAAAACATCAATTTAAAAATAAACAAGCCTAAAAACACGCCGAACTCAAATTATAGAAAATCAAAACACAAAGTACACAGTAATTAAATATCTAGCATTGTGACAACCGAGTGCATGCTCAGCAACACATTTTCAACTTATATAAAAAGGCCCTCTGAAATTCATGTAATCTAAATAAATAAGCAGAAATACAAAGGGAGGGACTGTTCCAGCCAGTAACAACTAGAAATTAATTTCTCCCTTTTTCTCTCAAATGACCCGAAGAGAAAAACATGAAATAATGATCACTTGCTGAAAAACTATAATTCATGTGCTTAATGTTTTTAAAATGCTGCCTATGATATAAAAACCCAAAGCAAGGCTTCCTAAGGGACCACTGTACCTTAGAAAAGGATGTACTAACTGACAGATTTAAACAAAAACCCGACATTTGCCTATTTAAGATATGATTGAATTTTCACTTAATGACCCCATAATAGGTCTAAATCAAGCCCACGATATGAATGCACATTTAGACATCAGAATGCATGATCTATTCATACTGAATTATGAATGGTGATTTAATTTCACTTGCCAAAGTATTAGTTCATTTTACATAAGACTGGAATGAAAATATCTAAAGCAGAAACTTCTTTATCTTTGTATCCTGATTCTTAGATTTTTAGAATGTAATAGGTGCTCAGTCAGTACTTGCTGAATTAAGTCCAGCATCCATCATATTCCAGGAATCATTAAATCCATGATGAAACTGGTTGCCTGAGACTTAGGGGGCAGCTCCTCAATGCTACCTCTAGGCCTGTGATTAATTTCTGGCTAGTCAATCATGTTAATTGTCACAGATACATCACAATTTCTCATTTCAGGGCCAAAGACTTCTAAAAGTCATCTATTCCACAGTTAAGCGTTCTTCAAAGATTTGTGCCTGCACATCTATAGTTAAGGTAAAAGAATAATATTTGTTATTCTATGTTGGGTATTTGCTTATGATAACTGCCTGAAACTAAACACACACACACACACATATACACACACGACCGTTTCACAAATGAAGAGAATCGGGAAATAATGCACAAAGCCTAAATTACACAGCTCCCAAGGTTAACTAAAAAGACAATGAATCCATAGGATAACCCCTTTTGACTATACACAAACTTATTGCATGATGGCTGGAAGCAGTATCTTTGGACCAACAAATGTAAACCAAAAGTGTTCTTTAACCATTAGCTTGACAAGGTAGCTAGAAATGGTATGGCTACAAGATTGCCTTGTTTAATTCTGCTCAGCGCACCTCATTCACTGGGAAGCCATGAGGAGGAGATGGATATGCTTTTCAAAGGTCATTCTTTCCACCCACGATGCTCAGATCAACATTTGCCTCCTTGTGTGGATTACTCTAACAGAGTACCTCTAGGTTGCCATTGGAAGTTGCGCTTTCTGATGTTCATGGGGGGAGGGGGGAGGGAAAGGGGCATGTTACAGAGCCCCTGAAATAAAACCTGTTTAAAAAGTTCGCATCTTCGATTCTCACTGCCAGCAAGCCTGTGCCTTGAGAACGCTGCTAGGAGAGGTAGATCCAGTGTTTAAGTTGTGCCATTCCCTGCAGTAACTTAGTGTAATAGAAGTCCACGTTGTCTGCAAAGTCTGTGCAAACAGGTGACTCCATGTCACCAAAAGAGCAGTACAAGGCAGTTCCTCCAACACTAAGGATAACAGTTGCTATGCACAGCAAGATCAGTAAAATACAGGAGCTGCCTCCCACTTCATCTGCAAACACATACAAGGAATAAGAGAAGAACAGAGTTAGGCTAAACGGACAACAAAATGGAAATTCTAGCACTTGCTGTCTTCTCACTGATTAAGATGACTAGACATTTTAATGTTAGTCTGCTAGGGAGAGGAGCTATTGACTGAAAAACTAGTCTACAAAGATGTACCCATCAGTTACCACAAAGATACATACTTGTGGAGCTTGCGAATGCTAAAATTAAAACTGGCTCCTTTGTATAATGAATGTAATCCCCTTCACCAAAAGAAAAAGAAAAAGAAATAGAGGGCAGTAATTCTCTGATGTGTTCATAGCATTATTGTAGAGTACAAATGATAACTCCACTATTATATAACATCTTTGGAGTTCACATCATTGGGCCACCTTAAAGTCAATTTAATATGAAACAATAAAAATGCCCTTGGTGGGATTTCATTTTCACCTTAGTAGTAATTCAATTTCATTCTTATCATTTAGTGCAACAGTGAAGTTCTAGCTAATGTAGTGATTTCTTTTTATTCTGCTCAACGCTTTTGGTAGGTTTATTATGACATCAGTCTTTCTATATTGAACAAAATAACTACCATTTGGTTGAAAAGCTTAATAATTATTCATAATTAAAGAAAAATAAAAAATATTTGGAAAAGACTAAAAAGTTGTATAATCTGCAGCATGATAAGGGGGTATGGAAACTATTTTGGGAGGTAATTTGGCAATAAGTGTTAACACTTAAAAGTAATTGATCCTCCAAACTGGGTCACTTTTGAGAGTAAAAGAGAGCAGTAACTAATGCAATGTTGGGACAACAGGTATAAACCGGGACTGTCTCAAGCAAACGGGGACACATGGCCCCTACGTTTAGCCCAGCAAATCCACGTTTAGGAATTAGCTCACAGATCCGCATAATGCACAGTATCATATACACAAGCCTATTCAATGCAGCAGAGTTTTTTATAACAAAAAGTTGAGAATAACCTTGTTATTCCAGTTCCAGTTAAATAATTGTTAAAATAATGTTAAAATAATTATGGGACAGTCCTATAATGGAACAGTATGCAATTGTTTAAAAGAATGAAGTAAATTTAATATGTTCTTTCATAGAAAGATATCCAAGATTCATGTTTAAATTTAAAAAGCTATATAACAGTATATTATAAACTCATTTGTGTCACAAAAAAGAGTAATACGTGTGTATGTGTCAATGTGTACACACACACAGAGATATACAGACTACATCTTGAAAGAATGATAAGAAACTTTAATTAATACCCTCTGGGGAAAGGAACTGGGAGGACTGAGGACTTATACTTTTTACTTCATTTGAATTTTGTCATGATTAGCATATATTACTTTTATGATAAAAAACAAATTTTATAAAACTTAATATAAACCAAATACACTTTACTTGGAGATTTTACAGTATTATGTGAATATATTCTCCCTTTAAAATATCTAAACACAGGAGTATATAAGAGTTCTAAGGACTTCCCCTTTATCTCCTACCCAGCTGTAGCCCCCTTCCACCCTAGAGGTAAACACTTTACATTTGGTGTGTACCCTTCCAGATCAAACACACATGACTTCGGGATTTTTACACAAATAAGATTATATAGTTGTATTATTCTGTGACTTACGTTTTTAAATAGTTTATCTATGTATGTATATACAGTTTTTATATCAATGAATAAATATGATCATATCATTAATGCTGTTATTTTTGTTCCAGTTACTTTGGTCAGTTCAGTCTTTTCACGGTCTGTTCTTTTTTTTGGGGGGGCATGGTTCCCTCCCACTCCCTTAATTTATGTTAACAACCTAGCTTATATATACATATTTCAATATTTTTTTCATTATAATATATTCACACAAACATTTAAATATAATTTAAATATTTTAGAACACCTGTTTCTTTTATCTACATATATTGAAACTGTTTAGGGCTGCAATGTCCAACGTGGAAGCCACAAGCTGTACCACTGAACACATGACATGCGGCTTGTCAAAACTGAGATGTGTGATACATGTAAAATGCACTCTGGATTTTGAAGATTCAGTGCAAAAAAAACAAAACAGAAAAAAAGGAACATAAAATATCTCATCAGCAATTTTTTTACTTTGGTCATATGTTAAATAATATCTTTGATATACTGGGTTAAATAAAACATACTGTAAAAATTAATTTCACCTTTTTTTACTTTTTCAATGTGGTGACTACAAAACTTAAAATCGTACATATAGCTCATGATATATTTCTACTGGACAGCTTGACTTAGAGGAGGAAGACCTGGGTCTTCTAGTGAGATTTTGGTAGAGAGTGAGGTTTATGAAAACGCTGCATAAGCTATAGAGTATAGGAATACACCTTCACCATCACTGACCCTTTACATGAAGTCTTCTAATTCTCAAAATGAATTCATACACGTTATCTTACATGGCCTTCAGTCCCCATGAGATATGTAGGAGAGATAGTATTCTTTTTTAAAGATAATGAAATGAATCTTCCACAAGTTAAGTGATTTGGTCCAAGATGAGGCAACTACTCAGGTGAAACGAGAGACTACAAGTCCCAAACGCAGGATCCCTCCCACTAAGAAAATTTTCAGTGCAAATTAGTGCTAAAAACAACCTGGGCGCTTTATCTGGAGAAGACCGTGGTATTTACAGGCAAGATGCTGAGGTGAAATGAGGAGTTAGAAATTATTTCCAAGGCCCCCTACCACTCTAGAGTTGTAAAAACTTAGAAACCTCTACTTCTATCACTTTATGTCACACTTAGAAAGAGTATCTACGTATTTATGCTGTTATTTTAACAATGCAGGTTTTTTTTGGGATATAAGAAGCAGCATGGACAGGTTCTTGGCTATATTCCATCTACCCCCATTCACTGAGGCCTTCAGTAAGCCTACTGCAGCCACACCTCAAAGCAGCACCATTTGCTACACGCAACCACCTTGAGTATACACCCAGGAGGAAAAAGTCAAATGACAGCAATAAACAGTGGTAAACTGCTGCTCTTGAGAGATACTTTTTTTCCTACAGAGTCCAGAAGAGATCACCAAAAAGAATATATTTGTAATCCAGAAATATTTTCCACACCAATAAAAGAGAAGTATTAATTGGCTACTAAGAAAGACAAAAATAGTAGACTCACCAAGGAAAAAACAAGTGCTAAACAAGAAAGTGAAAAGCTTTCAACATTAAGGACTATCTATGGGATAGGGAGGTCGTGAGTTGAATTTTGCAACTTGCTTACTTGAGCTAACAAAATGCTTACAAACAATTTAAGAGCTGATGACAGTCTGATTTTCTGTGATTCTCTTATGGATGACAAAGCAACTACAAATTGTGTTACCAAGCACTGTATCATCATGAATTCATTCTCTCGGCAAACGCTGTCAACTCTGCTAGACACAGTGCTGAGCCATTTACCTTGATCCAAGTTATCATCTATTTCTTGGAATCTCACTCTTCGCTTAGATGATTTCTGCTGCATTTGGGAAGGATGATTTCCTACAGTATCATTCCTCTTCTTTAATATAGAGACCAATCCTTCAGCAGGAACAACCTGGCACAGATTAGAAGAACCATTTGTTATATGATATTAATACAAACCGATGACATTTTACATGGAAGTGTAAAAAGACTAGTTCAACAGGTATTTGAGTTTCTACTGTAGGTGTATCCAACTGCTATAGGAAAAAAAAACGCAATCAACAAACTCTAAAAGAATAAAACTTTCACTTTCATGCAGGTAACTGTCAAACACACAAATCTAAGACACTGATTGCTTTTCTAAACCCTTGACCTGACTGCAGGGACAGGCAGTGTGATACCACGTGCAGGAGACTGGGAATCAGGAGGTCTCCTCTAACTTCCTTGCTTTGTAGCTTAACTTCCCTGTTAGGTCATCTGTAAAATGACACTTAGGGCCCCTCTCTGCTTAATCATTAGCGCTGGGTTTTGCCTAATAATGGAGGCTTATAATCCACCACTGCTTTTCTTGTTCAGCAGCAATTTTTAAGAAATGAACATATGAGACTTCAAAATGGGTGTTGTTCTCAGTTCCTCTGAGAAACTCTGCATTTACTTAAACAATGCTTGACTGCTCAAAATATTAAGGACTTCTCTTCTAGAACTTCTCTCAGAGCCAGTTTATTAGGGACATGCACTGGATTCTCGTTGTTCGTGGTAGGTCTATATTCTATAAAGCCTCTATGAACACTGAATTAGCAAATACTGAACCCCCTGCTCCTAAGAAGGGTTAGGCTCCTGGGAGCCTCTGGTCTTAACATTTTCATCAACCAATTAATATATAACCTTGGTTTATGTATGTTTCTGTTTGAAGACACACATACTGTGCATCTTTAGTATATATTGTTGATTCATTAACAAAGAACTCACAGCCAGTAGCACTGTAACTCTCGCCTGAATGAAGCTTATCTAACACATGTATTTTCTCTGTAAGGCACATCAGAGCCTTCTTGCGTTTACAAACATCAGACACCACTTCAGCACTACGCTTGGGGATCATTTTAATCAGCAAAATCATCAAGAAAATGCACAAAAGTGTGAAAAATGGGGCACTAAACAGACCATAAGGATATCTGTTTACAGTATTAGAGGTGAAACAAGAAGGCAGAGCATCAACTTGTTCAACCTCAGCTGGGAACACGTGCATCAAATTTTTTGCCACTCCGCACATTCGTGAATAACCATGAAAGCGCAGTGAATAGAGTTTGAGCTTCTAAATAAATTTCAGGAAGTTCAGTTCGAAACCACCAGCCGCTCCCTGGAAACCCTCTGGGGCAGTTCTACTCTGTCCTGTAGGGTTGCTATGAGTCGGAATCGACTTGACAGCAACGGGTTTGGTTAGGTGAATTTGCAAATATGGAGTCTGCAAATAATGAGGATCGACTAAATACTTGGTAGTATACAGTGGTCGGCAAACTATGGCTGGCCAGCCAAAGGCCCACTGCCTATTTTTGTAAATAAAACATAACTGGAATACAGCCAAGTCCATACACCTATGTACTGTCTATGGCTGCTTTTGGGCCACGATGACAGAACTGAGTAGCTGCAACAGACCATATGGTTCATAAAGCCGAAAATATTTACTGTCTGGCTCTTTACAGAAAACATTTGCTATCTTATACCTCTTCAATCTCCCACCTTTACCCCTTTCTATGTTACCTTCTGGTTTTCACTCGGACCAACTCTCTCAAACCTATGCCCCACCTCTTATTTAAAACAAAACAAAACAAACAAACAAAAAAAAAGCAAAAAACCTTGCCATTTAGGAGCTAAGTGACTCTGAGGTGCAGAGAGAAAGAGAAGATCAGTTGGTAGAGCCAGGCTAGGAAGCTGGGGACCTTCTGAAGGGCCCCTAAGTAGTAGACTGACTCACAGAAGTTAATTTGTGAGTTGCTGCTTGCTACAAGCTGTAGGTGATGACATAGGTGGGCATTGTGGGCCTAAGACTGCAGACGTCAGTGACTTGCTGAGGACTACCTGCAATGTCATTTATCTGATCAATGATATAAAATACTTCATATAATTTCCAGTTTCAGCCAGCCATCTCTGATAATGTGCTATGCATAAATATTACAGATTCTATTAGTTCTTTTTATAACTCAAGGCTTTTAGTGCCAAATAACTCAATATAGGCTTGGGCTTCCATGAACATGGGTCTATAGAAACCATTATCTCAAAAAAAATCAATAAGAAGTCAGCAATTCCCTCTTTTTATAGGATATATGCATTTCAGATAATGTCCTTGTTATGAGAAAACTGAAGTACTTTAGTGACATTGAAGTGATAAATACAAATACACACAGCAATAGTTTATCAAATCTTCCTTTAAAAAGCAGCAATAACATTAAAGAGCCCCTTCATATAATTACACAACAAAGAAAAATGATTTCACAAGCACCTGGCTGAAACTGAGAAGGAAAGGAGTTCTAATAAGTTTGTAAACAGCAAGGAACAGAAAATGGAAATTAACTTTAATGAATATATTACTACTAAAGACATATCACTGACAGTCTTTTTATTTTTTAACAAATGTCAAAAAAAAAAAGAGGTTTTCACAGATTCATTCACTATCTATTTTCTCCATAAAATTAAGTTACACATTTACCAACAGTGAATTCACATACCATGGAAGTTTTCAAGTTGCTTTAATTACTTAGACAAACAATCCTATAAAGAAGAAATTCCACGATAAGCCCCAGAGTGGCATTACTGTTAAATGTGCATCATTGAGATAGGAATCTATAAATTCTAGAAACAGGTACAATCCATAAATCAAGACACATAGCAGTACAAACAAATGGATATTGAAAGACTGAGAGAAACTACTCAGGTCATCTGGAAAGGCACAGAATGAGCTTCCAAGACCTAGAAGGTACTCCGAATGCAACAGCTGTTAGGCCCTTAGCTCCTGCTCGGACTAAGATGGGGTGCTTGTTCTAGAAGCCGTGCTGTAAAGGGATACAAGTCTTATCACATGGACCCACCTTATTTACTACAGGTGACAATAAACCTTGATAAGTTTTTGAAAGAGGGAAGAAGCAGAGTATGAGAAATTACAGTTGGATGGGATGGGCCAAAACTTTGCTTTGACCTCCCCATCACTTAATCCTTCGGTAAAAATCTAAAAACACCCTATATACATTTCCTTTTTCTTTTCTCTCCCACCAAAAACCTTTTGTTTAAGCAGGGCCTGCCCCAGTGACTGCAGTGAAGAAACGTGTTCTTTCTAATATTTCCCTTTAGTCTTGTTCAGGGTTCTTCTCTAGGTTTTTCGGTTTCTTTTGTATCTGCCCTTTGGTTACATTTGCTTATAGATGGAGGACAGGGGGTGGTGGGGCCAGGTTTAAGCACAAGAGATGCAAGCCAAGGAGGAAACTCTTAGGAGGCAGGAGGGTATGGCAGACATGAGAATTCATGCATTCTGTTTTTGGGAGGGTTTTGGGCAGAGGGCTTGGCACCTATTCACAGCACAGGAACTCCTACTTACCACATCAGAACAGCAAACATAAAGAGCTTAAGAAACAACTTTGGTAGAATTTGTCTTAATTCTACGGTAGAAGGACAAGTGAGCCAAAATGCATCACAGTCTTGGTTTGGGGTCTCACTCAAAAGACTGCCAAGTGTTTCTAAACAGGTTGGAAAGTTGATTTAGGGCATACAGAAATGTGTCTCCTCCAAACATCTCTAAAAGCCATTCTCCACATTTTGTTGTTGTTATTGTTTTTTAACCCTACTGTCAGTATCAAAAGCTTAAGAATTTAAAAATCTCAAAAAATAGAGCTTTAAAACTAAATTTAGTTTCCCACTTCAATTACCAAATTCCTTCCTTACCCAAACAAAATGTATCAAGCCCTTCCACTGAGAGCAAAAAGAATGTCTAAGCTATAATTACATAATTGTTACTGGTGATACTCTATGAATAACTACAGAATTAAAAAAAAAAAAAGAATCCATCTGGCCTAATCTTCTATATTTGCAAATAAGTAGTTCTTCCAGTAATTCCCCTCAAACATCAATGACCATCTTAAATAGCATTTTAAGAATGAATTGGTTGTAAAACCAAACAAAATTATTCTGCAACTCTACTGGCATATTAAATCCTAATACGATAAGGAAAACATTTAGAGGCATTGCTGCTCGAAATGCCTCTTCAAAAAATCTGAAGGAGAAAACGCATATCAAATAATATTCTTTTACTGATGTAAGCTTTACTCAACTCGGAACAAACTCAAGGTCAGGTAAATTTTGAACAAGAACACACGCTTCATTTCCAACTATAGATTTGACATTCATAAATCATATCAGTATATTATAAATACCTTTAATGCCAGAGACTTCACTGTAGAAGCACATGTCAAATTAACCACTATCATTCTTCACTGAAGGAATAACTGATGTACTCTGTCTTCTTTAGATTTAGGTTCTATAGTAACTATAATTTAGAGAATGTGTACACTTTATGTAAAGACATTTATATAATATGTCATATTTAATCCTCACAATTCTCTTATCGAGGCATATCAGCCCCATTTTACAGAAGAAACTAAGCAGAGAGAGCTTAAGTAGCTTGCTTAAGCTTGTGGCAACAGTAATTGGCAAAGTTTGATTAGGCACTTGCTCACGTTTCCTTGCTTAAAGGCCCAATTTGATAAATATAAAATAGGAAGAATAAATGGTAAGAATGTCATATCATCTCACTTTTTAACTGCAGAAAATTGTTCAAATAGGTAGATTCCAAATCAGAACTCTCGATTCTCTTCCCCTCCAAAACTTTTCCTTACCACCACATCTCATATCTAATCTTCTCAGTTTCTCCTTGAAAAATATACCTTCAATTTAGGAATAAATTTTTAACAAAAAAGGTATAAAAATTATACTCTGAGAATGACAAAACTGTTGAAAGAAATTAAAGAAGAAATTAATAAATGGAAAAACATTCCATGTTCATGGATTGGAAGACTAAATACTGATAAGATGACAACACTCCCCAAATTGATCTACAGGTTCAATGCAATCCCTGTCAAAATCCCAGCT